TCATGTGATGCTGATTAATTTATACATCCTTCACTGATGTGTTTGGATGAGAGGATAGGCCGCTGTGTGTGTGTTACATATTTTAGCAGCAAAATTGACCAAGTGGCGACCCCCACGGTTGATGAAATTTCAGATGCCTCATTTAAAAAAAAAAAAGGTTTATTTAGCTTATTTAAGTCTCGCTGGTGCAGATATACATGTGTTCTCTTCTTTATGCGTGCCATGTGGAAGCAGTGCTGATTTGCAGTGTAGAAGTGTCAGAGGGGATAGTCGATGTACATTTATAACATGCCAAATGCAGACTGGACTGACCAATCAGAGTATATATTTCTGTTTATGTATTATATCAACACTTATCTGTTTAAAATGATACTATATGAACTATGTGTTATTTATTTATAATCTGAAATTTATTCATTTATCCAGTATTTACCCATGCATAGACTTTGTCTGCTATAATTTGCAGTATATCGCTGTTTTATTGAATTTGTCGGACTGATTGAATTGGCCTGAATTTGATATCTTACCACTATGATATTGCACTTTGTAGTAACAGGACGAGATGATGCAGCTGCTTACATTTATAGTTTTTACAGTGCATGAATATAAATCTAAGCTAATGGGCTTTGAGTGCAAAAAAAAAAAAAATGCTGCTGCTTTTGGGAACATTTCCCTGTAATAAATGTGTGCTGAAGTATTTTTCAAGATGTCAACGAAGCTACTGTCAAAACAAGAAAAGGAGACAACTTAGATGATAAGTCTTTAAATATTAGGTTTGCGAATATAGCATTTTAGAAGTGTGTTAGCCTTTTTTGTGTTGCACATCTCTTGCTATTTAATCTTTAAAACACTTTTTATGAGACTTAGTGAAAAATTAGAAGAATGAGGCAACATAATCCTGCATGTCATCCTCAGTTTGCTTCCATTTCTCTTAAATACTAAGGCTAGAAGTGTGGCTCCTTTAATTTTATCTACAGAGTTTGTTTTCATGCAATTCTGTGGCTCCACCGTTACTGTGTAAACTATAAAGTCAGGTTTCCGGGGTGGTAAAATGAATGTTTCTAGTGTGAGAGAGAGGAAAACTTAATGCCTGTGTTCTATTGTAGCACTTTCAGCTCTATCATATTACCTTAGATGAACCTATGACTCTCTCATACTCTCTTTCTCCTCTTAGGAGTTATTGGACCTATTAACATATCTCTGTTGATCCCTAGGACGACAATATTCCAAAAAAAAAAGTTTTATAAAAATATTAACATAATAGGGAAAGTTTATAATTTGATAATTACCTAACAGTTTTAATATTATTATTTATATATTGTTTAACACATTGAAAAACATTTATATTGATATTTTTAATCTGAGACAGGAATTTAACCCACAATAATTACTTATTTTACAAATCCCATGTTATTCAATCCTTTTAGGTACATTTTATTTATTCTGTTGCATGTAAAATGTAAGTAACAGGAATAAAACAATAACAATTTGAAGCTGGAACAAAAAAGAACACTAAACCTAAACAGGCTGCTAATCGCTAACACTGTCGTTGTTTTGAAACTGCTTTAACAAGTTAAGATTAAAAATGCTATGTGACTCCCAAACATGTTAGAGGAGTTGTGTTTCAGCATTTAAAATGGATCAGCATTTTAGAGAATGAAATATCTTTCCTGTAGAGAGTTTTACTACCTGTGGCCTTGAGATATTAGCTTAGCTAGCTTAGCATAAAACCTGGAAAAGAGCGGGAAACTGCTAGCTATGTCCAATTGTTTCAAAATCTGCCTTTAAGCATCTCTAAATTTATTTTTACACTTTCTTCTTGTATTATATATAGTAAATAGATGTAATGTTCTAAGTATTAAGCTTTAGAGATGCTAATAAGTGTATTTTTTATTATATTTTGGACTTAGCTAAATTAGCTCCCCCTCAGTGCTAAAATATGAGCGTCAGTATTCTCATCTCATCTTGTCTCATTCTCTGCAGGAGAGCTAAATAAATGTGTCTCCCAAAATGTCAAAGTAGTTTCTAAGCAGGAATAAAAATAAAATTTTCCTCTTAAGACTCACATTTTCTTTTTCCCAGTGCAAATACAAGCCCAGTCAGTATGGTGACACTGAATTAAAATCAGTGTTAAATGAAACACAGGGCTGTTTAGTATTATAATTGCACAGAAGGCTCTGGCAGTGAGTGTGCTGACTGAATGGAGTCACTCCTAGTTTGTCTGCTGCTCGGCTGCATCTTCGTATGCAATCCTTTCTGATGGGATGAACTGCAGCTGTTGGCGCTACAGCTGGGATGTGTGTTCCTTATTTCCTTTTCATTTCTCTGTTTTGTTTTTCGGCTTGTAAATGCAGCGGGTTGCTTGTTCAAAGAGCCAAAAATTACCGTGTACATGTGGTTCTCTTGGGGTTTATTATTTTAATTATGTTCATGGCTGTGCTGCACATGCATTGGTTGTTTCTGACTTCAGTTGTTTGAGTAATGAATAAAACAATAATTTTGAGCTGTGAACAAGAAATCGATGAAGACAGCGTCTCATTCTTTGGGTCTGTTTTTCACCTCTCCATCCTCTTGGTCTCTATGGCATCTCCTCTCTCCCTCATCACTAGGATGCTATTTATAGTTGCCCCGGTTTTCTGCCTCTCTCTGTCTCTTTTTTCCTTCCTCTGTCAGAACATGGACTACAGTGTCTCTTGCTATCTTCTGTTTAATCACAGGATGTGCTGCAGGTTTTGGGCTCTGCACATTAAAATTAATAAACCTTCCTTAACTGTTTTACTGTATAAACATGTAAAATCATATCACATCGGTCACTTTCATGTTGTTTCCTGGCCATCTTTTTTTTTTGCCTCTTTGGTCCGGAATGGATGAAAAAAAGACTCATTATCAAACCCACAGTTATCGAAAACACGATTAATAATTATAAATGGATCTTTTCCCCTCTGGAACCACCACAAGGTTGATTTCACTCCCTTTCCACACCATTAAGTCTTTGGACAGTATTTTTTTGTCATTTTGTCACCACAGTGGACGTTAAATCCTAGAATCAAGATGTGATTGAAGTGCAGACTTTCAGCTTTAGGTCAAAGGGTTTAACTGAGCTATTTTCATATGATCAAAAGTAAATGGACAAATGACTGACAAACAGTTTAAAGGCCAGGCGAGACCTGAGTTCAAGTGACTTACAAATAAAAATATTTAGCATTAAAGCATTACTGACCAAGGTTATTAGCATTAGGTGATCCACCCTCTCAATTCAATTCAATTCAGTTTTATTTATATAGCACCAAATCACAATAATGGTTGCCTCAAGGTGCTTTATATTGTAAGCTAAAGACAATTATGGTCACTTTAGGTTCCAAACAAGCAACAACTGTTGTTGTAAATAAAAGTAAAAGCACGAAAAAAGTGAAAGCAGTGTCTGTATGTGAGTTTTGGGGACCCCTGAGCTCTCAGTGTATATACAGTCCTGTGGTTCCCCTTAGTTGCTGTCTGAACCAGTATGCTTCTGGGTTTCCCCGACTTTACTTTCAACCTGAATAGTGCAGATCTCAAAGCAGATTTCAGCTCCTTTATTTCACTAACCTGACCGCGAGAAACCAAAAGAGTTACAGACTTGGAGAATGAGTGGGTGAAAAGGAGGGCTGTGACTGAAACGCACCATCTGCTGGCATAAAATAAAGACTTAGATGAGTTAGTGAATGGATCAGAAGTAAGCTAACATTTAAAATGAACTGAATAGAATGAACAATTTACCCAAGAAAATAAGTACATTGCATGCCCTCATTATCTAGTGGGGACTTATTCAATTAGTTCCTTTCTCTTGAGACCAGAAAGTAACGTAAGTCACCCAAATATTTTATCACCTCCCCTTTTGTTGTTCCTTCCCAGACTTATGCGTTCTTTCCCGTCAGTTTCTGTGTTCATGAACTGCTTTTATGTACATATGTCTGTCAGGCCCCCCTCACATAAAGTCCCTAAATAGTCCTCATTTGAAGATTTCTTACATTTTAGAAAACAGGTCACTTTTTTCCAGTGGTAGTTTTCATGCCTTTTTATTTGTTCACTGGTCCGTTTCTTTTCTTCAATAACACTACTATAATTAATTGCGCACATAGTTATTGATATTGCACCAGTTTAAAAATGTGTATTTATTGTTTGTTTATTGATCTCAGCATAGGCTATTTGAATTCCAGACCTTACATCTTCCCTCCATGCAATTCATCTATTCTGAGAATCTTGCACTGATTTCACATTTTATGAAAATTATTCATGTAAAGCCTGAAAGCCTTGGAGGGTTTATTAAAGTCTCTCATGAATTTAAAATAAGGAATTAAATATCAGTTTTCATATGTGAGTTTTAATTAGTATCATTTTTGTTAGCGCTAGCATTTTTGTGCAATTTATTACCCAAAGTTTGGTATACTTTATTTCTTTTAGTGATCTTTTATTACAGGTTTGTCACTTTGCATTTGAAACCTCTTCTATATTGCTTTTTTGCATATAAGAATCATTAAAATCTGTGGTATTGCCTCTTTAAATGGTGCGAGGTCTCTGTCCAACAGAAAAGAGGTTGGAGGGAAAAGGTGGGAGTCGAGCCAGTCCGTGTGTGCAGGATCACAGATGGTCGTTTAGCCTCCTGAGGAGAGCCGGTGTCTCTGAGATCGTTTAACTTGGCCTCACGCTGCACGCTTCTCTCCTCTATCACACGGTCCCAGCTTCCCCCCCGTGTCGGCCACGCTGGCTGTCTTGCTGTTTGTGTTTGTGTCATCTTGCTGCTCTCTCGCTGGGCTGTCATCCCGGCCCCAACATCAGGACTGATGGGCGACGTCTGGAAATATTTCAGGATGGATTCTGGGAAGTAAAACCGCAGGTGTAGAAGCACAAAACAATATTTTTTTGCCAGGATGAAAAAAACAAAGCTCATTACACACTGACATCACTTTCCCTTCACACATTGTGTCTTTGTCTACAAATCACTCGACAGGCTTAGTGTCCTTGTCTACAACAGCACAATAAGTTTATTCAATCGAATACTGCGCTTGAATGCATTTTAAAGGCAAACATACGTACATATTGCTTCATCATTTTCATTTACTGTTCATCAGTCAGAAGGAGACCTGTCACAGGCAGCCATCGATGTTTTATGACCCTTAAATTTACCCCAAATGCACTTTTTCAAGTTTTTCTACAGTGAATTACAAGAAAACACCTAAAAAAAAAACATGCAACATACCAGTGCTTGTTTCTGTGTTTTTATTAAAAACTGGGATTTTTGTATCACAATATAAATATTTACCCTCTAAGGTCTAAGCTATCAAAGATGCAAAACTCAATCCCACAAAACTCTTTAAAAAAAAAACGGCAAAATGAGCCTTTTTGATAAAAATATGGATAGGTTTTAATATGTGTGGAATATGTGATTGTCTGGACTTGCAAGAACAATTTAACAATTACTAAAATTACAAAGTGTGATTGCCTAGGGTTGGAGTAATGTAGTGAGACAGAGCAGTAACATAATATGGAAATAGCACAAGTGCCTCAAAACGCTACTTGAGAAAAACGCATATATACATATACTGTGTGTCAAGTCATAATAACCTGTATTTAATATATGTACAAATAATTTAAACAGTAGTAAGCAGTGGCCACGGCTGACTGCCATGCACACGGGAGGACAAACATTGTTTTACAGCAGCTGGACGGACCTGTGTTCTGCAGTGACAGCGTTTGGCAGCGTGCAAATGAGTAAACATCCAGCTGGTGCAAACAGAGCGGGCAAGAAAACAGCAGCTGACATGCAGCAAGAGAGCGATAACCTTAAAACTAAGGAAATGAAGAGTTTGAGGCTCCAAACAAGTCCTTCTGGGAATCAAAATGTTCTTGATCCATAATGCCTCCTGAGAAAAATTCTCCCATATGTCAGTTTGTGTAGTTTCCAGCAGCTCTCTGTGTTTCTGGTTTGCTTTTGGTTGTTATTGAAGGATCTTTGTTTTGATGTACTGACAGAGGCAGATGGGGGCTGTGGTGCAGTGGCTTCTCTGACCTCTGTGGTGTGACGATCCTGAGAGCCTTTCAGACACGAGGAGCTTCACATAAGCCGCACTGTAGGTCATGAGGAGCTGGTAGGCTTTAGCCTGCAAGGATAAAAACAAGGACATAAGCAGATATTGGATGTGTGTGAGAGAAAATGCGAGGTGGGATTGAAACTATCAAAATGCAATCTTAAATGTGCTTTGAAATGATTAGTTAAGCCTTTTCTGCAGGCTACACTTTGAAACAAGGGGCTTATTAAGGTCTCAGTCATATAAACGTAGCCATAAAAACGATCAGATGCTCATTAACTGAAAATACTAGTGCAAGGTCTAGTGCAACAGTAATCAGCAGACAGGCGCTGCTGCTCAAATGCACTCGACTGACTGATCATCAGCGAGTCTGAGCACCTGTGGTGGGTAAGTGGGTCAAAGAATGTAAGGCACAAACACTAATATTTCCTAAACCTTTACATGAAAAAACAACAACTTTAAAAACAAATCTAAATAAACATTTTTGCCCTCCTCTTCTTTTGGGTGGCACATTTTTCAGTGACTATTTGATATAAGAAGGAGGTGCTCACCCCACATCCAACTGGCTAGCTGCACGTGTGCTGGAGATGGCTGTACAAGCTACTGAATCATGGCACATACTCAGTTTTTCACTCACTGCTTTTGGCTTAATTTCCGCTGAATAAATAATGACATGGTGTAATACAGTATATTGTGTATTGTTCAGCTGAGGCTCTACCTATTTTTAGAATCTGGCAAGAACCAAGAAAGAACCAGAGAGGGGGGAAAAACACAGTTTGGGTAATGAGCCACTACTGAGCTGTTTTACCCATTCATTTCTTAGAATTTAAGCCCAAGTAGTCGTGCTGACAGATTTCTTTTTATTCACAAAAGCAGCATGTCTTTGTCAAAGAGAAAAACTGACACGTCCCGTTGAAACCGCACTCAGGGATTACATGTGTAGTTAAACTTCTTTGCACTGGTACGGCCCATTTAAGATCAAAGTGAGCTGAATGTGACCCACGATATAAAACAAGCTTGTGAGGTTTGGTAACAGAAGCCATTTTGCTCCTCCAATGAAAAGCAGAACGCTTCAGCTCTGATTTTAGTGCCCCGTGAAGCTGCACACATCTGTGATCAGCCAGATGTGATAGATCTGTTGCTGATATGACTAACGTGGGTCTACTATCGCCCAGACCATCATGTCTCTCACCTGAGAAGGTAAAGCTGCATCGGGGACGAGGCTGTAGTTTTTGGTGGCTGTGGCGTCCTTCTGCTGGTTGGATGATCGGCCGCTGGCTGCGCTGCCATTCTCCAGCAGAGGCGTCTGCTCATCGGAGTCCTGCTCCTCCGCATCTGATTCTCCGGCCGACACTTTGGTCACCAGGACGAAGTGAGACATCTTGCTCTTCAGTTTTTTCTGATGGGAGTTAGACATCGATTTTATCATTTTAAAGACCAAATGTCTGCGTTTGTTTCCTGCGGCAACCTGGAGTTATATTTCTATCGATCTGGAAGGAGGGCAAACAGCGGAGCTCCAGAAAAATCGATGCGGCAGCAGCAGCAGAACAAACCGGGCGACAGATGTACTTGACTCTCTCACCTGAGTGTCAGTCGTCGCAAAGCTGAGCTCCTCTAAAGTTTCAGTCAGCGCCCTCAAACAGGGGGACATGTCCCAATACACGAAGTACAGCTACAGAGAGACACAGAGAGGGGACAGCAGACACGAGCTTCAGTGGACCACTGATGTCTATTAATCACCACATTATTTCATTTTAATAGATCTGTTTAAAGCATGGAAGATGCCCTGCACCACAACATGCAATATTATTACTCCTGTGAACTTTTCCTAAACCTTTATCGTTATCCTGCACACTTTTCCTCCACATCACAATGTTTTCCACTGAGGTCAATTAAAGGTTTTACTTCCTCTCATTGGCCGTTTCCCTTCTGTCTGACTGTTTGCTGTCATTGGTGCTGAATCGTCAGTCATCTCTGTATTTGTGTATTTATCTTTGGCAGGTTGTAAACAAAGAAGGGGGAAATGAATGAAATGGAAGTTGGTAGCCTGAACTGTATGAAACAGCCCATACTCAGCTTCATATTCTGCCAGTTTGAACTGATGTTATCAAACTAACCTTCATGTTTCCGGTGCAGTTTCGCACCCAGTCAGCCACGCCCACCAGCAGCTTGTGTCTCACCAGCATCTCGTTAACCTGGACCAACCGAATATCTAAATTCACATTGATCTGACACAGAATGGTTTGAGAATCAGTTCAGGGTCAGACTTGTGTCAAAACTGGCTTTACTGGCATGCCGTGACAGCTGACTTACCTCCTTGTTACTGCAGTGAAGGATGAGGATGACGGCAGTGGTGAGGACGATGGAGATCAGGCTGACGGAGAGACAGAGGACCCAGTAGTCGCTAACGGTGATGTAGAGGTGGAGGGTGGAAAACACCGCACACCACAAAACCACATACAGCACCTGGTGGAAGCAGAGGGGAGGAGGCTTTAGGAGTGTCAGCTGTGAAGCTAAACCATTAAATATTCTGGTTCTCAAAACTGTAGGGCGGACCCACTTGTGAAAATACTGAGTGAAACTAAGCGAATAAGAACGTTGATGTTTTTGCATCTTCGCTGAGCACAAACTCTGCTCGAATTTAAGTCTAGCTGGATTTCACTCTGCCTCTGTGTGACTGGTAATGGAACATTAAAAGGGTGATTTTTACTGTTGTTGTTGATGTTTGTTCAGAGTTATTAATAAAGGATTTCTTATGAAAAACCTCAAATTTACCCAGAACCCACAGAGATGTGTTAATGATGCTTGTTTTGATTGGAATTCCAAACTTATTAGTCTGTTTATTAATTACTAGATAAACATAAAAGAATTAGTAACTACAGTTTTTCACTCAATACTTACAGCCAGAGCAAAAACACTGAAATCATGGCAATTACTCTATTCATGACTCTCAAATGAAAGGACTTCCTGTTTTCTCTGCCATATGTCACCTAAACTACACAACTGTTTCACACAACTCTGCGCAGTCCTGTGCTGGTCTTCCAGGACCGGATGACCCAGCAAATCCAAACATGCAATGGCCAGAGAAAAAAGAACCCCCAAGAGCTACATATCAGAGTCTAAATGTTGCAGAAAAAGACTGAACAAGTGTAGTTTGTTTGTAAGGGTAGCCGGGGGACAGCCTCTTCTAAGCATAGCTTAGGCTTGCAAAGTTGGATCTAAACAAGAAGATTTATTTGTATTGGATATTTAATAAAGAACAATGCTTTTTAATACCGAACTAGTGTAAAGTCAATTGAAATAAAGTAAATGTGGTATACTTTTGATGGATATTTTAATAGATTATAAGTCAAAGCACATAGATAATCACAATAAAATCATTTAGTTAAATAATTTAAAAGTTTCAACTAAAAAAATAAATAAATATTGTTGTTTTGTTTTTTTCGGGATTGTTTGAGAGTACACTGTCTATAAAACCTGAAATCTGTGTAACTTTTCCGCATTTCTTTGTAAGATGTTGTAGCAGCCTTTAAGGGGAATTCCTCTGAACAATGAGCCTGTGAAAACTTCCTGTCTATCCAGTTAGTCAAGACCTTGGAGGTTTGATGAAAGTGCAGAATTTACTCAAACTGATTGATGGAGATCTTTGTCTGTTTTGCTCTCTTTTCTATTTTCACTCTGACTACCAGAAACAGCCTGCACAAGAAAAACATTTCAAAGAAAGAATGAAAACCGAAAGAAAAATATTGAAAACAAACAAAATAAACACAGGAAGTGATAATGGAGAACAGAAAGATCATCATACCGGCGCCATTATAAAATGAAACTGAGCCGAGTTGAAAACCATGTATCTCCTGACCGAGGGGACGTCCAGAGCTGTTTTCAGTGGAGTCTCCATGTCTTCACGTGGAATCTAAAATCGTGAAACAAACAAATTAATTTGGTAAAGATCTCTAACGTGCTGCTGTTCAGTGTGTGCGCGTGTTAACCTGGAAGCCCTCCCTCTCCAGTTTGGCACGGCACCGAAGCAGATTAAAGCTGGGGTACAGCATCGAGCAGCTCGGCACTGACGCCACACACTGACCTGAGAGAAAGACAAGAGTATGGAAATAAAACCTTTGAATCGATTGATTGATTGATTCATTTCATTTCATCCATATACATAAACCAAAAAACATCACAGACCAACACCTGACAGTGTGCATGCGATGAGAATAAGGAAGACCAAAAAGTAATCGTAAAGATCAACTGATTTCAATAGTGAACCTTTGTTAAATGTAGGTCATTAAAACCTCAGTCCACCTCTGGTGTGTTAGTCATCACAAACAACTTTAAGAAAAGTAGCCACAGGATGAGCTGTGGGGTTAAAATATGCACCACAGATTTAGAGCAGGCTTTTTAATCCGAGACCTTTACAGAACATAAATAAAATCTAACACTGTGTAACTTACAAGGAAATGAGGAAACTGTGCTCAGAGGTGAAAATTGCCTTTATGTGTTTCTGGTAAAGCGTGCAGGCTCGAAGCATTCCTGGCACAACAGTCCCAGCACTGGTATGTGGTTCATTATAAGGCGCAGGAGGAATTTCACACTTCAGGTTTGAATAGGCGAGTGCAGAAGCAGTTCCACGAGAGCATAATCCAGGTTTTTTTTGTCCTCGTTTCAAAGAGCGTCTCTGTTAGCTGTAAGAATGATTGTGCTGGTTTAAAATGTGCCATGTGTGATTCAATCATTTGTCACAGGAAACCAAGAATATATGAAAATAAAACATGTCAGCAAGATCAAGTCTGTGTGAAAACTATTTTGGGATCATAATGCCTCCCACACACCGCTTCAAAAGTCTCTTTGGGTGTGGAGCCACTCCAGATGGGGCGTGGACAGTGAGGGGAAAAATAAGGAATGACGTTAGGTTGAAGGATGATGATCACTGCTATTGCACTGAAATAATCTGCACGGTTGTGTGTTGTGTGTGTCGCTGTGTACTGTCACATGGGGGCAGTGTCAGTTTGCCTGTGGGCTACTCTGGTTTGCCTGTTTTTGGATCTTTAGCTGCTGAGGAGACCACAGAAGTTGTGCAGTCAAAAGAACTAGTGAAGTGAAACTCAGTGCTAAAAACAATGAAAACTGCCCACTGCAGTCAGATCTGTGCTGCTTTTTAAAATCTCCGATGCAGTTTTCTTCCTTTGCAAGCCCACTTTATAACCAATCAGCACTGCACCTACAAATAATGTTATTGCTATTGGGCTGTTGAATTCGTGGACTGCATGTAAGCATGTGTTGCATACCCAAAATCTTTCACTCTGTATTTAAAAGCCTGCACAAGGGCACTCAGTGTGGTACCATGATTTCTGTTTTAGTGCTAAAAAGCTTAAAAATGTATTAAGATATCCAAACACACGCGTGTGGATCACAGACTGAAACAGGCCAGAGTCAGAAACAACTTGCAAACAATCCATCCAGAGAGTTCTTGAATTATTGGTTAGATTGACGCAAACAGTCTGTAAGTAAGAACGAGATTTTAACTCGCTTTTTCAACCTTTACACAACTGTTGCATTAATATTTTCTCTGAACTGAAACAGGCACTATAATCATAGTGGAAGGTAGTGTAGGTCTGACTAAAGCACTATGTGGGCAAAACTGCCTACACATTACATCTACAGGTGCTTCTGGACCATGGAAACCTGCGCTATGAAGCTCCCAGCACCCGGTCTCTGTGCTGATGTTAATGCTAGCCGAGGCTTGTAGCTCTGCAGTTATTGAGCCAACACAGAGTTGGCTGCTTTTCCACACTGTCCACTTCAGCAGCGACCGAGCTCTGTAACTTTTTATGCCTGAGTTGCCGTGATCTCTAAAAGCTTCCACTTCTTATCACGTCACATATCACAAATAACAGATGATTGTGGAATATCTAAGAAGGAGGAAATTTCAGGAACTGAGTTGTTGCAGGGGTGGCGTCCTATTACAGCACCACGCTCTGATTTAGTTAACCCATTCCTTCTCAAATGCTTTTAAAGGCAGACTGCATGTTTGGTGCTTGGTCGTATACACCTGAAAACACCTGAATTCAAAGCCCAGTACTTTTCTCCATATAGTGTGTGAGATGAATTACCCAATTTGGCTTTTATTAAATATGATTTATCAGCTTGTTCATGTTATTTGCAACCAATTCAACAGATCAGTTGGTAGAAAACACACAACTTTGATAATAATCCAGTGCTTTGACAGAACTGGAAATCTAGGCTACTAAAATGAATTCCAAAGATTAAGGTCACACAAACACACACACAAAAGAATAAAAAATATTAACATATTTAAAGAGACTGGAGGCAGGCAGTTAGGGAGACAGCTAAAGGATGATAAAAGGCATCACATCTAAGCAAGTCTATAGAAATGAATTTTTAGAAGCTATTTAAAAGAAGCCGTTAATTCTGAAGGATGGTCTCCTCAGAAAGGTCACATCACAGCTGAGGGTTGTCTCTAGATTTGAACCTTTTGAACCACTTAAAAAGCCCCACCTGAAGCCTCGAGCAGGCTCATACAAGGTCAGTTATTCTGCTGCCTCGCTCGGAGGCAGACCCAAACAAGCTTTAAAAAAGCGATCAGTAAACTCTTAGATCAGTTCATCCGTTGAGCCGACAGAGAGAAGCCAGGATGGGGGTGATGTGATGCTGTCTGAAGTATCCAGTAAGATGCCAAGCACCTGCCAGACGGCAGGAAGGTGCAATAATCCAGGCTTAAAAAGTACATAGACGACTTTCTGCAGATCTGAGTGTGAAAGTGTAGCTTTAATTCTATAGATGGTTCTAACTAGGAGAACTTTTTTTAATGTGAGACTCAAACATGAGGCCTGAATTGAAGTGAACACTCATGTTTCTGGCAGCTTTCAAATGCCCAAGAGAAGTTCTCAGTTTGTGGGACTGAACAATAACATTTGTGGTACTTTGTTTCAGAAACTGCTGTGACGTCCAACATTTAACCTCACTGAGGTGGTTTAAAAAAGCAGCTCGGCTTTTAGGTCTCATTAGAAGGTATATCTGCTTGTCCCAGGTGTAGGAATGAAAAGAGAGGTTCGGGAAGCGAATAAATAGAAAATCAAATTGCACCACAGGTAGCACAAGCTGCAGAGGATGAAGGGTTTCCTACACTGTTAAGAATGCTCTCATGACTGTTTTGTATCAGCAAAAAGAAGCAGAAACATCAAAGTAATCCAAATGAATTGATTCAATTATTTCTCTACACCATAGGCCTTAGTAGGCTACATTTTGGCCAGGGTTAGGCACAAAGATTTTGCTATTTATTTATCCTACTTCCTGTTTTATATCTAACAGCTAAACATCCTGATTCATACTGAGACCAGAAGCCTTGTTCCTTCAAACAGACGCAGTAAAAAGGCAATTCATTTCATTAACAAGCTACAAATGTCAACTTGCAAAACAATACTGCCAGTAAATCAGCATAAAAAGCTATATGCCATAAATTCATCTTCCATCAGCAGCTGATCTTTGATGCACAAAAACCGAACTAAGGATGTGATGAATGAAGAGCTGTTTATCAAATACATACAATAAAAAATGCAGTTACCGTTCGACCAGTCAGGTCTGCTGTTGATGCTGTCCCGCGCATGAGGTCTGGAGTACTGAATTTGAACGTCCCCCTCCCTCTCCTCCACTATGTGGCAAACTCCATTGCTGTCCTCCATCATCTCGGGGGTCATTGTGTCCTTAAGAACAAAACAATTAAATTTAAAAAAAAAAATCTAAACTGTTAAGCTTAAAAGTTCCTCTGGCTCATGTGATGGCAGAGTCATGCACGATTTTGCAAGAATCACAAGAAGACAGTCAGAAAGAAAATCATGTGCGTGTAAGAGGTTGTGACTGCCAGTATGAATAGCATTGGGAAACTGTTTGGTAAGCCTGGAGAACACATTTGTGAGGAAGCACGTCATGATAAGAGATAAAGTAAAGAGGAATGCATTCATTTATTCTTTTCCTAGTGTATGAGTTCCAACAAAGGGGAACTTCAAGACGGTACACACAAAACCAAAGGAAGTAAAATATTTAGCTACTATCAGTACTGAACTGCGCAGAGAGCTGAGTCATGGGCATGTCAATATATTAGAGAGAAATGACTGGAAAAGTTAAAATCACTTTTGCATTGATTACATACTAGAAGTAACTTGACAAGCACCTGAAAAAAGTGTAGCTGTACTGTTTTACATAAACAGTAGCGCTGCATGGTTTTATGCATGTTGTATATTAGATGCATGTTTGAACTTTTTTACTCTTACATCACCTTGATGATCAGTTACATCAGTCAAATGTTACAAATGCAGCACACAGTCCTCCAACACAGAGAAAAGCATGTATATTAGTCTCTATATGCCAGCCACTCTGTTAGATACACCTGTTCAACTGTTCATTAACACAAAAGTGTAATAAGCCAATCATATGACAGCACCTTTATGCATTTAGGTACATAAACATGGTCTGAAAAATAAAAAAACAAAATCCAGTGAGCAGTACTTCTGGTGGTGAAAATGCCTTGTTCATGTCAGAGGTCAGAGGAGAATGGCAACAGTAATTCAAATCACCAGTGGGTATAACAGGTAAGAGCATTTGAAAATGTAACACGTCAAACCTTGAAGCAGATGGACTACAGCAGCAGAATACCTGTCCTGTCAGCTAAGAACAGGAAACCGAGGCTACATTGTTCACAGGTTTCCCAGTATTGGATGTAAAAAGACTGGACAATATTTCCTGGTCTGATGAATCTCGATTTCTGCTGCCACATTCAGATAGTAGGATCTAAATTTGGTATAAAAAGCGTGGAGCCATCCAATCTTGCATCAAGGATGCATGGTGGATGTGTCATTTCTTTTTACACACTTTGCCCCTTAGTACTAAGTGAGCACAGTTTAAACACCACAGCCTACCAGACTATTGTTGCTGACCATATCCATCCTTTTAACAGTCACAGTGTATCCATCACTTAATGGTTGGATAATGGACCAGTTCACAGAATCCAGAATGGAATGAAGATAAAAAGTGAGCCCAGCTAAGTACTAGTAAGGTGTTAAATGCTGATCTGACAGGAGGCTGAGGCCTTTATAGGGTGACTATGTAGCATATAAGGTAAGGTTCTCATTCCATTTCATGTTCATTTCAGCAGTCCATGGATCCCTACATCTTTGCACCACTTGAATAAACTCTATGAGAGCTTTAGGTGCACATGTATAGCTCATGTTTCCCCTAAACTGCAGTATTCTGTAAGTAAACTAAAAGAAACTAAACCCAAAGTCGATCTGTGACCAGTAATTTAAAAAGCTAAAGCTAAAAGCTAAATATGTTAAAGAAACCACAGCCATAACGATAACGGGGACAAAAAAAAAAACCTTAAAGAGGCCTTTATCGCTAATAAACACATTTACAGTTAACTGTGAGAAGTCTGCAACCTTGCAGGAAACTTTAACTTCTGCTTTCGGGGATGTGGGCCATTACTGCTGTGCAATACTGATACAATATCTGCTTACGGAGGCAGAACAAATGGGCTGAATTGTTGAGAAATTACATTGTTGTGATTATTTTGGAGTTTTACCAAAATAAAACTCGTTCGTTGCACACAAACGTGCAAAAATGCCATAGCAGAGAAGCTGTCTCATAAAAGAAGAGGAGACACAGGTTTCTTGTGGACACTACACCTGAACCAGATCCCTCTCCAGCACCAAAACTGACCGTCAAATAAAAGAAAAGTAATGAACTTAAATGTTTTTTAACCAGCTCTCTCTGGCTGTCGTTGGAAACAAAGTTTAGCAGTTAAGTGTGAAATTTAAACTGTCGGTGTCTAACCTATTGAAGTCTAACCTCTTCCTCACTGCTCTCATTCTGACTTTATTTACTTTCATTTTCACTTCCTTGATTGTTAATAAGGTCTAACGTTAGACCTTATTAACAATGCCAGTACTGGCATGGAGACAGTTTATCACTGCCTGCTTACACTGCACCTGCAGATGAGGATGGGGAAGAAAAAGAATGACACATTTCACACATGTGCAGGCAGGCTGTATCTTGCACTCGGTGCATGTTTTTACCACCCAGAGGGCTTTATCAGTAAACACCCAGCTGTTATCTTTACAATGCATCATGTTTTCATGTCCGGTGTTGCAAACTGCACATCCTTTTTGCCTGCTCGTAAACTAAACAGTGTATCCTTAACCTGACGTTAAACTGAAGCCTCGACGATGACAATGGTTGAATATTTTTGCTCCTACGCATTTTTTTTGTGCGCAAAAGTTCCTCTGTAAGTTATTTTGTTTCTCCTGACACCTGTACACGTGAGAGTTCCAAAGCAAGACTAAACATGTCCTACCTGAACTTCAGATGAAACTCCATCAGTTCACCAAAGCTGTCATCTTTGTATTCCCTTTGTCCTTCCTACCATAACTCCTGTTAATCGAGAGAATTACCACATGATGGTCCTACAGACACACACAGAATTGAAGCGTATGCCTCTATCACACGAATGAGTCTCAGCCTCTCTCTCTCTTTCTCTCTCTCGCTCTGTTTCTCTCTCTCGTGACTGAGCTCAGCCCAAACTCATGACTGCAGGAATGTGGTTTGTGTGGTGTTCAGCTCAACCTGTCAGCATTAGAAAGAGGCTCATGGCCTTCATGCAGGGACCCGTTGAGAAAAACTAGCTTCATTTTGATATATATATATATATAAAAACCCCCAGCACGCCCCTGCAGGCGGTTTATCCTTCAAGCTCGGGTCCTCTACCAGAGGCCTGGGAGCTTGAGGGTCCTGCGCAGTATCTTAGCTGTTCCCAGGACTGCGCTCTTCTGGACAGAGATCTCCGATGTTGTTCCCGGGATCTGCTGGAGCCACTCGCCTAGCTTGGGAGTCACCGCACCTAGTGCTCCGATTACCACGGGGACCACCGTTACCTTCACCCTCCACATCCTCTAGAGCTCTTCTCTGAGCCCTTGGTATTTCTCCAGCTTCTCGTGTTCCTTCTTCCTGATATTGCTGTCATTCGGAACCGCTACATCGATCACTAAGGCCGTCTTCTTCTGTTTGTCTATATATATATATATATATATATATATGTATATATATATATATATATATATATATATATATATATATATATATATATATATATATATATATATATATATATATATACATATATATATACAGGGTGGGCCATTTATATGGATACACTATAATAAAATGGGAATGGTTGGTGATATTAAAGTCCTGTTTGTGAAACATTAGTATATGTGAGGAGGCAAACTCCTCAAGATGGGTGGTGACCATAGTGGCCATTTTGAAGTCAGCCATCTTGGATACAACTTTTGTTTGGAAGAGGGCCATGTGACACATCAAACTTATTGGTAATGTCACAAGAAAAACAATGGTGTGCTTGGTTTCAACATAACTTTATTCTTTCATGAGTTATTTACACGTTTCTGACCACTTATAAAATGTGTTCAATGTGCTGCCCTCTTCTCCCACTCTTCACACACTGATAGCAACACTGCAGGAGAAATGCCAGCACAGGCATCCAGTATCCGTAGTTGCAAGAAGCTAAAACTTCAGAACGACTGTTACACATTAACTCATAAGGTCCAAGGACCCCACTGTGGGTCAATATGGATTCACACGTGTGAAGATCTAAATATAATATCCCCAGACCAAGGCGTGCTAAATCACACAGAACAGAGAAAGGTCAGATCTTAACACAGTCCCAAAAGACATAAAAATTTGGACAATAAATCAGACATCTACAGCCACAGCACCCTGTGTATTAGTAATTTTTTCACATTTTACCTTTAAATGTGGCACCAGCTCCCTTAAAAGACAAACAGCACCTTCCACATCCACACAGGAGTGTCATGGCATTCATGTTTTTGGCAGTTTTAATAATTAAAAGTGCAATCAGCAGCTGTTCTGCTGCAGAATATGATAGAATATAAAGAGAGATGTATAATGTGCACTGACACTTAAGTGAGTATGCTAGTTTACTGATTTATATCTTAACCACCAGATTTCCCTCCGCCCCTCCTACTGAAACACCTCTAGGCACACACAGTTTTTGAAAATGTTTTGTATCTATTCAAGAAAAGGTTATATCGCACCAATAAGAGTCCTTCCTCACTGTAAAGGTTTAAAGTTTAAACTTTTTTCTCTGAAAACTGGATTTCCGCATGCAGCTTCCTACTAAGTTGAGTTGAGGTTTGGAGCTTCAGTAAATAGCACAAAAATCATTTTCTGCTCTAACTTTGCTTTTGTTTTGTTTTTTGGTCGTGTGTGTGTGTGTGTGTGTGTGTGTGTGTGTGTGTGTGTGTGTGTGTGTGTGTGTGTGTGTGTGTGTGTGTGCATGACAGGCGTCCGTGCTGTTTCTGCCCCCATGTGTATAAAAATGGTAAGTGCATGAAACCTTTTCCATGTTCTTATCTTTTGAATGGACATCTGAAATCGAAGAAAATTAGAATTACATGCTCAAAATTTACACACCAATGACATTTATTCCAAAAATAAAAACAAACAAACAAAAATATGTTTAATACTGTATAGAACGGTGGCTGGGAAGTGCAAATCACATTTACAACATCAACAACAAAATAACATTTCCAAAAACACTTTTACGTAAAAAACAAAAACAAAAAATGACAACAAAATAACATTTAAGAAAACACTTTAATAAGTCCGCAACAAATTAACAAGTCCGCAACAAGTCCGTTTGTTGAAATCCCGTGTTTAGCTGCTGCTTCTTCTTCTGCCGTCAACTTAAAGGCTCTTTACCGCCACCTGCTGGGCTGGAGTGTGGACCATGACGGTTTTAAGGCCTGGATATTTTCTTAAGAAAATCCCCGTGGCATTTAAAAATCTGAACTTCATTATCTCACCCATACTCTTTTGTAAAATCTCTTCAAACATTAACTGAACACTACTTCTGTGAAAAGCCCTTGTTTAGCTGACTACAAATCACTTTTCTGTACTACAAATAATGTAGTAAGCCTAATCGTTGAGTCACTTCCGGTATTTCAGACAATCCATTTCCGTCAAGAGCCACTTGTTAATTTGTTGCGGACTTGTTAAAGTGTTTTCCTAAATGTTAGTTTGTTGTCAATTCTTTTATTTGTTTTTTATTTTTTTTATGTAAAAGTGCTTTCGGAAACGTTATTTTGTTGTTGATGTTGTACATGTGATTTGCACTTCCCTGCTTCTCTGTAAAACATCTATAATATTAGTTTAACTATGAAACTCTTCCTTTAATTATTAAGGAAGGATGTGCAAGGATGTGTAAAACTGTACAACATGCACAATACAACCTTGAATACGTATTACCTTTTTATAAAAAAAGACATGATAAAAGTAACTGCATTATTTGCTTATGTAATGTAAATAACGATATTCTATAATCAGTCGTTAGGATTAAAAATTAAATCAAGTAAAGTTTCCTCTTTTATTTTGATAGGTGCTTTAGTCATGTGACCGTCTTTGTCATATGACTTATTGGGAAGATGTGTTGGTTAAAGAAGTAAGGCGAGATAAAAGAGAGGCTTTCGCGCGATCTTTGCTGTGTGTTTCTGTTCTGAAGAAGAAGAAATCCGAGAAGGAAGTGAAACATGGCAGCATGGCGGCTCTCTGCACTGTGGTTACTACTCTCTGCTTTGGCGTCTTCGTGTGTCCTCACCGTCAACCCTTCCCAGGTACAGTGCCTGTTATTACCTGCTTATTACCGGGTTATAGCAGCATGCTGAAGCCCTGCAGTGTGTGCGGTGGAGCTGGTGACGTGTTAGCTAAGGTTGGTTAGAGTGAAATCGATTCATTAAAGGTTAAATGTTAGGCTTTTTGTTTCTTTTTCTCTAGAACTTGCATGATTTGGGGATTTCTAAGGTATAAATAATTTTTAGGTAAATGTTGCAGTTGAATAAAATAAAATAATTTCCAAAACTCGAAGCACGATCACATGTTTGTGTGTTACATGACACCTAAAGTATGCTGAAGATGCTCTTGGCCAAACTGGTTTTGCCTGTAGATACTTCTCAGTCATCCCTGACTCTTTTTATCTGCCCTCCTCCCTGCTGTTCAGATTGATCCCCTGGTGTTTGAGGAGCAGCTCCTGTGGGTGAGTGGGTCCCAGGGCCAGGTGAATACCTACAGGATCCCGCTGCTCACCTTCACCCCCAAAGGAAGCCTGCTGGCGTTTTCAGAAGCCAGGAAGACTTCTTCTGCTGACCGTGGAGCGAAGTTCATTGCAATGCGGCGCTCCACAGACAAAGGCAAGACTCAGCTGAGTCAAACTAACAGCCTGTATACGTGCATTTGATCACAAGTCAGAGCAACACAGAGGGTCAAAACATGCAAAACTTCACTTTTAAACAAGACTGGGAAGTGGAAGCGCTGGGAAGAAAGGCAGACGTCAAAGCCAAATGCAAAAAATAATAAATAAATAAACAGATAAAGGTGTTAAAACACTTTTGCATCATTTTTGCTACATCTGTAACTTTTGTGCAAATTGTTTAGGTTTTTTTTCTGGGGGGAAAAATCACGCTGATGATGTAGAAGTCTCAAAAACTAACATAAAAGAGGTATCAAATACAATACACTGGAAATGAGCAATCAGCTAATACCTGTCGTGAGCCATGACAGCATTTATTTTTTACCTCTGCTCAAGAGGTTGTGTTTTTGGTAGCATCATCGCTCTGTCTGTAGACACGATAGCTTAAAACGTTAAGAAGGATTTGTAGAAGAGCAGCACAGTCATGATTCATTTGTCCATCCCCCTGAAAACTCTGAAAACTGTCCCTGTGTTAACCTCATGTGCGATTAAAACAATTACGGTGCAGCGCGATGCAGAGACTCACACACCTGTCTCTGATGTTTGCCCTCTCTGTGGAGACCAGTTCAGTTAAGAGACATGTGCCATTATCATTAGCATCAGTCAGTTTTTGCAGCAGATATTTGGTTTTACAAATATTTTCAAAATTATGTCACACATGTCACAGTTTTAGCCCTGGTTTGTAGAAAAAAACAGCAATACAACAGCTTGATTGCATAAATTCTCGTGATTGAGCCCCAAACATAAAACTGAAATCTTGGTTTTAAAAGGAGAAAATGCACAAAATTAGTGGAAAATATAGACAAAAAAAATTCAGAGTTATAACACAACTGTTCCGTGAGTAGAAAGTTAAATCATAAAACGTCAAATTGAACAATTTATCATCTTCCAGGAGCCACCTGGTCCCCGACCAGCTTCATCGTCGATGACGGGATGAAGCCGGACGGCCTGAACTTAGGCTCCGTTGTGGTGGACGAGGAAGTGGGCTCAGTGATTCTGATCTACGACGTGTGCTTCTACCTCGACCACTGCAGCCCACCCAGCATCATGATGGTGGAGAGCTGGGACGACGGCCTCAGCTGGACCCCGCCCAGAAACCTCTCAGTTACGCTCGGGGTGAAGAACTTCATTCCCGGGCCGGGCCTCGGCCTCCAGGTGAGAGAGAGTCATGTGACACTGAAGTGAGTGAACTTCTCAAGATGTAAAATGATTTCAATGACCTTTAAGCCAGATTCATTTTTATTTAGATCATGTGAATCCTGACAGCTCAGTATTTCCATGAAAGTCATAAAGTAAGATTTTACTGCGTGGCTTTCCACCTCTGTAATTATGCATAATTTTGCACGTGTGTGCAAACTTAGTGCACTGGTTTGGCAGTATGAATCTTTTATTGTCAGTGAAAAGAGTGTTTTTTGTGCATTAGAAGCACCAAGGCCCTTATTGAATCTGCTGATGGATCAGATCGTTAATCTTGATCAGTTTTCTGTGTAGAAGGAGAGCTGTCCTGCACTGCTTTATTATCTCTGTGTAGAAACACTTTCATGTGTGCAAAAGGCTGCATTGCTGTGAATTTAGCAGCTAGCTTTAACAAAAGGAACTGATGAGCCTGGAGGTTAAGTGATGGAACAGTTTGGAGCTGGTTCTCGATTCCTGTCTCTTTTTTTTATCCTGTCCAAATTAAAGAAGTGAGAGCAGAGATCCTCATAGCTTCAAGCTCAGACAGAAAATGGTCAGTATAGCACCTGAAAGTGCAACAGTTTGGCACAACAGGGTTTAAATCCCTCATGGAGAACCAGTTCATTACAAATGAACTTAGTGTTATAAACTGAGCTGCCTGGTTTTGTTTTTGATGCCATATCACAGCCTCTCTCAGGCGCGTTGTTCGTCTTTTCTTGTTGAGGTCAAATGATCCACCATGTGAAAGTGCCGACATGTATTCAGCCTCGGCGTCACAAGCTGAAACTCACCGACCATGTGCACGCCTGACCTCGTGATGCCACGTGTATCATATTCCATACAAGCTATTCTCAGTTTCTGTGACCTCAACATTGTCATAGACAGATTAGTTTTTCCTGAAAATGCAGAATCAGTTACACAAAAATGCCTGATGTTGCAAGAATTGTCACGGTTCTGGTTCATTTTGACCCAGCGTTTTCAGTTCTCTGAGATTTTTGTATAATGTCGAGTTCATTAGTGATTTATTTCCATGGTTCCTAGGTTTTGATCCCTTGCCCCTCGTGTTTCTCTGTGCCCCCTCTGTTCTGTGTTTAGTTTTCTCTGCCCGTGTGTTCCCTCTGTGTAAAGTCCATGTTTCTTGGTCTGTGTCTTCGAATGTGTGAGTTTCCTGTTTTATTCTGAAGGTCTCTGTCTCATATGAGTGTTTTCAGCTTTACGTCTGTGTAAAGTTTATTCCTCCCAGTTTAGATTATCTTTTGTTCCGTTTTGCCATTCTCTCCTTGTGTTTTATTTTGCAATAAACCTCCTTCGTATCTCAGCGAGTGCCTGCTCTTGGGTCCTCATTTATTTCCCCACACAGTTAGCCATGACAAGAATGATGCAAATTTAAACTCATATATGCAAACTAATATTTTTTCTTTAAAAAAAAATACTTTTCTGGTAAAGATTTAATAGTTCACAGGTGATCAACAGGTGTTACTGCTGTTAATGTAAAAAAACAACAACTATATTTGGCGTTTATACGTTTTAAGATATAGTTTGTGGCTTGTTAGTTTTTATTCTAGAAAGGACAGAAGAAAGAAACCAGGAAAGCTATGGGAAAAATTCAAACCTGGGCCTAAGGAATAACCTTATCACATATGGTTTACCTGCTGTACCAGCGCCCAGTTTGAACTCGAGTGCTTTTATTGCTCTAATTCAGAGGGAATAAAAAAAATCTACTTCTTGGCTTACTGCTTTTTTGCTCTACTTAAAATGTAAGTGACCTGTATCTCTAAAGCAGATAGATTTGGAAAAGATTTTGATGACTTTAAACAATTTTCACAGTTAAAGCATAATAAAAAAAGACTTAAAAACTGAAACAAGAACCTAAACAAGGAACAAATACTTGAGGTTGCAGGAGAGCACAAAAACAACAACATGCATAATAAACCCCCCCCAGATTCATTCAGTCATTACTTTTCAGTTTAAAGCCTCGGTAAACCCAAAAGGTTTGCTTTTTAAATAGAAACCTTTAGGTGTTTAGTGATCTACTCAGATGTAATACTATGCACTGATAAGAATTATAACAGAGGTCACGATGCTGACTCTGATCACCATCTTTCTTCCTGTTTTGTCTGCTCTGGACTACAGAAACGCTTCAATCCTGCAAAGGGGAGGTTGGTGGTTTGCGGTCACGGGACGCTGAACGGCGACGGTGTTTTCTGCATCCTGAGTGACGACCACGGGGAAACCTGGTACAACGGTGCGGCGCTGAAAAGTATCCCCTACAACCACAAGAAGAAACCACAAGACTTTAACCCTGATGAGTGCCAGGTAAGAGGTATCCAGGAAAATGTGTCACTGGGATTAAAAATGTCTTTTTTTGACAATGATCCAACAGACACACAGCTACCACACAGCACAAACAAGTAAACACTATGATGATGTAAAAGAACATATAAAGAATATAAAAAGGTTAAGTTTTAAATTGATTTCAGTGTGACTTTAAGAGAAATCACATTTACCAAAGCAGTATTTTCACATTCCTATAAAACTGGATGAAACTTCCACATAGTTACCTGCTTTGCCAGTTTCAGTTCCTTCTGTAGATTCTATGAACTGGCATCATAGTAAAAGAGAAGTTCATAAAATGTGATATCACTAAAGCTAGGTCTGTGCAGTGACACACACAAGCATTAACACAAGCATTTAGTCTTTTCTCTCCGTCTCTTCTTCTCCAGCCCATTGAGTTGACTGACGGCACCATCGCCATCAACGTGCGGAACCAGAACAGATACCACTGTCAGTGTCGCATTGTGGTGCACAGCTATGATGGAGGGTTGACCCTGCCCTTGGAGGGCCTGATCTTTGACGAGGCACTGGTGGATCCTGTAGTGGCAGCTGGAACTCTGCAAAAAGAGGGCGTGATCTACTTCACCAACCCCTGCAACGAGGAAAAGAGTGAGAAGCGCTAAACTCTAGTAAACAAAGCACTTTAATTCTGTAGAAGCACAGTTTCTAGTTTTGTATGCAGTACTTTTGTTTATTTTAAGTAAAGATATAGTTACACTGATCTCTCCTCATACGAAATGTTCAGCTTTCACACAGTTTTTTTATACTCTTGTCTCTGTATGATGTCAAAGAGAGCAGTTAGTTCAAAGGACAGAAAGGGAGGTAAAATGTCTTGTTTCTAATAGTAGATGAACTGAAGGGCTGCACAAAGGCCCAAATAAAATAAAGAACGATTGTTTTGATGAGTAATTCTCTTCCAGAGTTTAATAATCAAAATATGGAGCCGATAATGAGGATAAGTCCTCTTCCAGTGAACATACACTGTTCAAAAACACTAATGGAGCACAATCTTGAAGAATGTCAGTAGACTCATTTTGTAGTGCTCTGGCAGTTGCACAAAGGAGCAGAGACTACGTCCCTGCCTAGCTCCTCATGTAACCTCCCCTGTCTCCTGGTATCTCCTCCACACTCTTGAGACTGTACTGGGTGGCACAGCAAACCTTCTTGTGGCACATATGGATGTGTCACTGAACTATCTGTGCAACCAGAGTACCAATAGTGAGAAGGACACTAACACAGAGCAACACTACAGAAAAATCAGAAAGGATGGATAAGGCGAGAGCAATGGTCTTTGCAAAAGTACTCCCTTTTTTGGTAGTTTGTCTCCTCGTTGCCTCTCATGTTGTCACTTTAATTTGCACCAAAGCAGCCGAAATAGATTCACAATGGTTTATGCTCTCTAAGTGGAGAGATTGAGATACGATGATCGAGGATTCCCTTAATGCTTTTTTTAATTGAACTGAAAACTCTCTAAGATTTATGTTATAAAGTTGGGTGATCGAGTAAATAACCTCATAATCTCCCTCAGGAGTGAACCTAACCTTGAAATGGTCGCTGACAAACGGCAAATCTTGGGAGAAGGAAGCCATGCAGATATGGGCGGGACCGAGCGGCTATTCCTGCATCACTTCACTGGACAGCGGTTCTGCAGAGGACCGCAAGTACATCTTTGTCATCTACGAGAAAGGCCACAATCAGTATTTCGAGACTGTCTCGTTCGCCAAGATCCACCTGTATAGTGGCCATTAAAGCAGACGAGAAGGTAGGTAGAAAATGTCAGAAAATATTATTAAATCCTTTACTTAAACATCCAAAAGTTCATGAAGTACATCTAATGTGTCCTTGCACTTAGATAAGAAAAGCACGTACATGGCTATTTGCACAAAAATAAATATAACCTTTTAAAATGTTCCAGTGAAATCAGAGAGCGCACTTCGAGTATTTAAAGTTCAGTGTGAAGTTAAAATGGCCTGTGACCTGTTGTTGTAATTACTGTGTTTAAATGTAATCAAAGAGCAGAGGTAAGCAGGCAGCGTTTGCAAGAGAACCCTCGAAATAAACATAAATGTTGCTCTCTTCTGTTAACTGAGGAGGACCGTGCGACTTTTCATGTAAGATGCACTGTGCAAAAATTAGTAAGAGAAGAAAATTACGCTTGATACATGGCAGCACGCTGCGATGATCAAAATCAAGACGCTTCGGGTGGCAGAAGAAGCATCCATTTAAACTATATCACCCCAACACGCAGAGACAAAGTTGTGGATGAGAAGCCGGGTTTACGTCTGTTCATTTGTTGTCTTATGCAGAACAGTGTGAACTGTCTAACAATATTTACACCTGTTTTCTTTCTCAGATTGAAACACTGCAAGAAAACTAAGAGGGTTTTTTAATCCATCGAATTTCTCAGGAACGCAAAGAGACTTTAAAAACGAATTTTATGATGTCAAAAAAATGGAGAGACAAGGATCTGCACAATGAATGTCACGCTATTTTTGATTAAAAATCTTTTTTTAAAATTTTTTTTCTATCCTTTACATTTTCCAAAGCTGATGTATGTCACAGCTCTTATGTGTGTTTTGGTAAATAGCTGCAGAGCCACAATATTCTGACAGACTCCTGACCTCACACAGGAATGATGAAGCAAGAGATGCTGAAAAAACTACCACCCTTTCTTTTCTGAGCTACCTTTCTGATATATCATTGAAATGACGGTAAAACTGACACAGTCATAGACATCTGGCTTTAACCAGGCCACGACGCATGCACAGTGTTGCCAAAATCTAGAGCTGCATAGAGACGAAGTGAAAATGCAGTTAAAAGTCCACAATTTATGCGCACCTTCACATTTTTCAAAGCTGCGGGCCAAATGGAGTCTGTGCCAGTCTGATTCTAGCCCCCGGACCTTATCTTTGACACCCCTGGTGTAGTCACATAAGTGAACTTCTTAAATATACAAGATGCCTCAAATTCTGAAATCAGTTCTCCTCTTAGAAAACTGATGTAAAATATTAAATTCAGGTACTTGTGTGATCGAATGTGTGAAAAAAACAAGGTGCTTAATGTAACCAAAGGAATTATATTTAGATTTTTATAGAAAATGCTGCATTTTTTTTTTTACCTGTGGGTTTTAAATGTCCAGCTGAGTCCATTAGATCTGCTGTAATAATAATAATAGTTTCCTTGTGTACTGTAATTGCATTAAGCAACACTTTTCTGGTCTTACTGACCACTCTGAGCACTTTAAAATACAAGTCGGGTACATTAAATGTGCGGTAGCTGATTTTCTTCCTTGTAATGAAATTGTTCTTGTTTCTGTTTCTATGATGGAAAATGTCACTTTATGTTTTTCTTTGAGTGCCTGTTTGATATAAATATGGCTCTAATGTAGGAAAGAATTTCCTTTTTTCACAGTTTTAAATTGTAAAATGTTTATTACTTTTATTTTCCAACATACTTCTGTTTTTATTGTTTATTCAGGGATTTAGTTGGGATGTGAAAACACGGGGAGGATCTTTACTAATCAGCTGTACGGCAAATCAACAAATAAACTGTTTCATGAAGTTGTACATGTGAAGTTGGATTTTTTAAATATTATTTTAAATAAAATCTTCTTTTTACTTTCTGCATTTTTCTGCATCATTTTTGCAAAGTGAGTTTTTAATCTGAGTGGTTTACATTTACCTGTGTGTGTTTGTGTGTGAATGACGTAATAAAACTGTGTTTGTATGTAAGGAGAATATGTTGTCGTTTTAGTTATCTATTGTAAATGTCCAGTTGGGTTAAGGATGGCTACTATTTATAGAATAAATAAACGATCCTGATCATTGCAAGCATAGAAAAAAAGTCATAGATCTACAATTTAACCCTTAAAATATGCTGTTTATTGGCCAACCACACAGGGAAATGCATCCACATGACACTGTATTATGCAGAATTGTCATGGTCTCCGTGCCTGCCCGGTCGGCCCCACAAGGCTACATTTGCTGTTTCTGTTCTCTCCCTCTCTGCCTGGACGGAGCTCACTGTGGGCTCCCGCCCTTGGCCCACACACACACCTGACAACAATCACCTGTCATCACCGGGAGCACTATTTGAGGCTGGAACACAGATCCTCTCGTCGCTGGAGGATTGTACTACTGACGTTAGTGTTCTCACAGCTCCTGTGGACTTGTGCTTCATAATTCGTGATTTGTGATTAGTTGGTGACTTTCCTTCTCTTCTGCCTCAGATCTCTCTCCCCCCCCCCGGACCTGCGTCCTCCCTGCCGTGTGAACGTGTGTGAGTGTGAGCAAAGAAGACGTGAGCGAGTGTGAGAGAGCTACCCTGTGATTCCCCGGAGTTTTAGATCCCTTCCCTGTACATACATTGCACTGGCACTGTAAATAAACTACACCTTGGAGACACCTAACCGCTCTGCGTTTGAGTCCCTGTAACCAGATCGTGACAAGAATATATAAACTTTATGTTTTATATGTATCTAAATCTTTATGCATACACTCTTTGAATAAAATCTAAAGAACAGTTTGAAGGAGGGTCATTAGTGCCCACTGAGCTGATGTTTGCAGCTTCACTAGTTAAATGTAAAGGATTGTTTTCTGCAGCTGATTTGAGTTTTTTGGTCTGTGGTTCTGTGGTGTGTATGTGCACGATTTCATGATTATCTCTGTACAGCACACTTTAGATTGCCTGACGTCTGTGCTATTTTCATGATATTCTGCCACAGTTTGGATAAAAGTAATAAGTGCATCCATTCTGCTGTATTGTGAATAGAGATATGATAATTTAGTGCATAAGTAAATTTGAATTAGATGCACATATTTACGCACGGACGGTATTTCCGGATGTATATTAGAGAAAAAACTGAGCCAAGACGATATAGATGTAAGTCCTGCTGATCCATCAGCTATATTAATAATTAATTAAAAATGTCACAACACGTGTAATATTATGTATTTGCAATTTTATACATGTATTTACACCACTTGCATACAGGCTTTCTTGTAGACTCAATAAAATATAGCAATTAACCCTCTGATGCATGAATTATGAAAGCCTTGGTCAAGATTTTTTTCTTAAGTGCTTTTATTCTTCTCAGGACATGAAAAAAAATATCCAAAAATATGTTTTTTTATAAAGTTATAAACTTGTCCACTCCAGTGGACTACATGCGCCTGAGCACTTAGCATGAAATACTGTGAATTTACTGTAAAAATTAATTACCTCGTGTTCTATTGTAAATATACAAACACTTGTTTGCTTGTATCCTTTGAAAAATATCTCAGCAATTTTTTTGGAACTTTCAACTCATAAGGCCCCAATGTTTAGACGTAAATAACAAAACCAATCAACAGTCCTAGCTGTGAATCCTACACCTGAATATGGCAAACTATCTCCAACAAGAGAAACATTTTTGAGTCTACACAGTTCTATAACGATGCAGGACAGTATTACCAAGCCCTTAGTAGCATGCTGGAAGAAAACACAAACTGACATCTTAGTCTCTGCATCTCCAAACAGTTCTATGTTCATCACACCTAGGCTGTGCGAAAGTTTGCAACGCATCCAGGGCACAATGGCACACAGCATTGCATGCAGATGTATTTGGTCTTCCGTGTGCACGCAACATCATGGCACCTGTTTGCATTTTTCACCTCGGTCAGTTGGGGCCAGTGATATCCTGTGGCAAACCTGACCTCACAGGCTACTTTGATGACTGCTCTCCACTTCACGGGTTGTGGGGTCCCACTGGGTCTTCCTCTTTTGCATTGCTGGAGGGTGAATCTCTTCTCTTGTTACTGACAGTTCTTTCCCATACAAGTTGGTGTTGTATGTTATATTATCAATTAGATCTGCTGGAAACAGATGTCTGAAGAAATCTATGGGATCCTTCCCCTCCACATTCAATTTCCACTCTCCTAGAAAAGGAGGCAAGTCTCCAACCAAGTCATTGTCTTGGACTTTCCAAATATTTTTGCGGGCTTGAGTATGGTCAGGTGCCATGTACCCATCTCCCACAGCTCCCTGATCATACTGACCTTCCTCTTCATCCTGCCCCTCATCGTTCTCACTTTCTGCATCCTGACTGTCTGTGTCTTCATCATCCATAGTTCCTATGTCTCTGTTCTGCTCTGGCAGCCACTCTCATCATCACTGGACTTATCACTGAACTCCTCATCACTGCACTCATCAATGAAATCATCATCACTGGAGCTGGATGGAATTTCCTGGACTATTCTGTACGCTGCCTTATTCTTTGCTGCATTTGAAGTCTACAAAATATGATAAAATAATTATTATAGTAACTCAAACTACAGCTGATCTGCACAGAAATATATATTTTAAATGAGTAGCTTATAAATGTAACAATTATATGCTTAATAATAACCAAAACAGTCCCAAAAAACAGTGAGACAATTTATGACTTATGTTAAAAAAATATAGTGGGTAATGCATGATGTCCACTACAGTGGACACATGGTTAATTGTAGTTTTCTACATATTAGACATAACAATTTCTTATTCCAAACAGATAATATCCTTCCCTAGATGTTACTGCATATCATCATATTTTTTTTACCTGTTGGGCTCTTTTAGCATAGAAGGATTGACAGGATATGCCAGCAGTGGTCGGCAGGGGTGACAGTTTGTCTGCCATCTTTGATTCAGAGGAAATTTACTTGCAGTTGCACTAACTGAACACTGAATTGACCTCAATGGAGCATGGCAGCAGAGAGCACTCTAGAGGCTAATATGCAGTTCCACCATAGAAACCAATGCATTAAAGAGATATGTACGTTTTAGTAGCTGTCCACTCCAGTGACCACTATGCATCAGAGGGTTAAAGTGAAAAGTAACATTTTCAAAATAGTCCAAATAAAAAAATAATAATAATTATAATAATAAATTTCTAATAGTTAATAAAGGGCTATAGAAAACATGTCAGGTTAAATACCATTAAATCCGAAGTAGGCAACGAGTGACGTTAGTCATGTGACTCCCACCTTGGGTCATATGACTCACAGGGGCAGGCCTTTCGGTATATGAAGTAGAGGAGAGAATTTTATCCCTACTACTCTTTTTGTTTCTGTTTTTGCGGACTTATTTCGACACTTTCTTTCCTCACTCGCTTCTTTGTGTCTGCCGGAGTGAAGAAGAAGAAGAAGTTACGAGAAAGAGCCAACATGGCAGCAGGAAGCCGGCTCGCTGCTCTTTGGCTACAGCTCTTTGTTGTGGTGTCTTGCTGTGTTTCTAACGTCAGCCCTCAGCAGGTACAGTAGCCCGCAATTATCTGCTTAGTGTCTCTTCATAACAGCATGCTAAGTGCTCGGCATGAATTTCTGAGCAATAATGTGACAGCGGATGTCTGTGCTGAAACTACAACTTTAGAAGATGGACTACAAACATGCACTTTACTTTCATTCAGGTCATATAACGCGCAACCATATAACAATAAGAATATATAAAAGAAAAATAATATTATATATTTCCTGCTTCAGAGATAAAACAGTGCAAAGACGTTCAATGACTGTAGTAAAATCATCATCCATCACTTATCTAGTTTAGCGCGGTTGTTTTCTGGGTGGAGAGTAATCTAAAGGCAAGCAACCCAACAGTGGATATAACCAGGGGTTAAAGTGGGATTTGGCAGTTGGGGGAACTTGAAGTTTTCTGTGTTTGCGCATGTAGTTTAGTTTCTTTGTCGCCTATTGCCCCGCATTTCTTAGGGTTATTGCTCTTCGCGGATTCAGCCTGCTGCTGAATACAAACTGCAACTAACAAACTAAATGTGTGACAAACAGTTTGTGTGGGACGCGTTAACAATGCTGGGATTAAAGCAGATATATTACATTTGAATGAAACTTGCCCATCTCTCTTGCTAAGTAAACACCATAAGAAGTTTGTTCTTGTGGCCTCATGAGATAGTCTGCATTCTCTGTTATTTCACTGTTATTTGGGCTGCTGCTCTCTCTGGTAACAGACCATTTTTAGCCAGTTATGACACACACACACATCACTTCGAACCATTTCCTCTCGTGTGACACTTTAAAGTCACACTAACAAAAAAAAAAAAAGACAGTAACTCTGTTTCTCAAAATATACTGCTGCTTCATTTTCTCTATGGTAGTTTCCATCATATTTAAAAGCCTTTTTGTCTTATTGGTGAGTTGTAACTTTGACTGATGGGCATAGCGTTAGACAGGATAACCTTCACATGCATTGGGAGTCTGCAGGAGTCTCCATGGACTATGATTACAGATGACATTGTGATCTGTAGTGAGAGTACTAAGCATGTGGAAGAGACTCTGGAGAGGTGCAGGCATGCTCTGGAGAGAAGAATTAAACTGTTACTAGACCTGCTATGACGTATGGTTTGAAGACGTATGTGCTGACAAAACGACAGGAGGTGCAGCTGAAGATGTTAACATTTTTGTTCAAAATGACCAGGATTAGAAATGAGCACATCAGAGGGAGAGCTCAGGTTTAGAGACCTGCCAAACCAGGACGTCGACAAGGGAGCCCACAGAGCAGGTTCACAAATGATGTGAAGCAGGACATGCAGAGGGAGTTGCTAAGGATAGGGTGAGATGGAGGCAGATATGAAATGCTGAGCTGTTGTGACCCCTGAAAGAACAAGTTTCTACAGTACTGATGTTACATGAATCATCATTGCTGCTTTTAAACCTTAAAGCTAGAGTAAAGGTGGAATTTGGTAAGTGTTACTAAAGAAAGGCTTACATTCGTATTGATTGTTCCTACCAAAACCCTTCTAGAAGCAACATGTGTCACTTAGTCATATGCATATGGACATTTATTTTAATGCATTATCAAAATTAACTCTAATTTCAGCTGAGTATATTATTGCATGGCCAGAACTTTATGTCGAATCCTATGAAAAAACTTAAAACCATAATTCCCACGTAAATGTCTGCTGTCTATCTGTCTTATGGCTTTGTTGACCTGCATTAGTGCACCATGCAGCTGTAAACCATACAACACAGTATACACTTTTAATAACATGTTAGAACTATCAGAGGATAGTCTTCAGATATTAGATAATCAGATAACTTCAGCTGCACATCCTGTACAGATCCACTGCCTGATTTTAAAATCTGGCATGCACTAGGACGTGGTATGTAAGCTTTAAATTTCCAGTTTATCTGTTACAGTCTTTACCCTTCAAAATAATCTCTCATCTTCTCCTGACCTGTCTGTCAGTGTGAAATCATATTCACTTTTGTGCTCCTGGAAAATACTGCAGCTCTACCCTTAGCTAACAGATGTATTAATATTCAAACTGCACAGAAACAGTTTGTGTTTTTGGTGATAGAAGTTGAGATGTTTGAAATGTTGAATTTAACTTACTTGACATATTAAAAAAACAGAAGGAGGAAGCTCCTCGCTTCAGTGGAGTTGGTGCACGACAGGGCCATGTGATGACTTTAATTGCCTTCATAGTCATAGCTGAAAGGACTGTCAGGCTGCACCACATGAAAAATGAACTGATTTAGACTATTCTGTACCAGATTACCTATCAGGTTGAATTATTTATTTATTTTAGGTGCCAGGATGCCACTTTAGACCTTTGATAATAGTTTCTAGTGGCTGAAGGACACAAAATCGCTTCCTTAAAGGAAAAGCAAGATCACCTGATTTTCTTTTCATTTCCTGAACTCAAAGCCAGATCACATGTTTGTCTGTTACATGACACCTGAAGCATGCTGAAAATGCTCCTGCCTATAGATAATTCACAAATATCTCTTCCCTCTCTTTTACCTTCCCTTCTCCCCGCTGTTCAGATCGACCCCCTGGTGTTTGAGGAGCAGCTGCTGTGGGTGAGCGGAGCCCAGGGTCAGGTGAACACTTACAGGATCCCGCTGCTCACCTTCACCCCCAAAGGAAGCCTGCTGGCGTTTGCAGAAGCCAGGAAGTCTTCTTCTTCTGACATTGGAGCGAAATTCTTTGCTTTGCGGCGCTCCACAGACAAAGGCAAGACCACTGCAAGAGATAGACAGTCACACAAAACTTACAGTGTGTCAGAAAACAGTCAGCAGTCACATGGGCGCAAATGAGGAGAGTTTATCGCTTCTGAATGAATGTCTGGGAGTGTATGTCATTGTTAGCATCAACCATAATTGATATTTTGAGTAGATGTTTGGTTTTATTTATATTTACCTTTTTTTTTTTTTTTAACATTTCATACCTTGAAACTGGATCAACGAGTTCTACGCAGTGTTCAAACAGACTGATGATATAAATTCTGCTGACTGAGCCTTGAAATAAAAGTAAAAATCACAAAAGCACAAAAAACAGGTCACGTTTTCTCTGCTTCATCTCCTCCTCTTCCTCTATCATCTCTCTAGGAGCCACCTGGTCCCCGACCACCTTTATTATCGATGACGGGGCGGCACCGGATGGCATAAACCTGGGCTCTGTTGTGGTGGACGAGGAAGTGGGCTCAGTGATTCTGATCTACTCAGTGTGCTTCCACCACTACCACTGTAGCCCGGCCAGCATCATGATGGTGGAGAGCCGGGACGACGGCCTCAGCTGGACCCCGCCCAGAAACCTCTCGGTTACGCTCGGTGTGAAGAACTTTGCTCCCGGGCCGGGCCTCGGCCTCCAGGTGAGAGAACAAGACATGTGACACTGAAGTGAGAGAACTTTTCAAGCTGTAAAATGAGCTAAAATGAAACGACCTTTAAGCTGGATTTATTTTTATTGTGATCATGAGCTCCTGGGTGCTCAGCAATTCCCATCACAGAGTCACGATTCAAGATGTTAAAGTGAGATTTTCCAGGCAGATTTCTCTGTGGCTATAATGTAAATTTGGTTCCTGTTCCTGAAATCTTGCTCCATGCATCTGTTTTCCACCTCTGTAATTATGCTCTGAAGAGGTTTAGGTGTAATGTGCAAAAACTAATTTGCATTAAATTAGCATTAAGAATATTCTTTTGATGCTTAGCAAAAAGAGTGATTGTGTGTTCATGCATTAGAAGCCACGAGCCTTTTATTGATCCTACTTGTAGACTACATTCTTTATCAATCTGACTCCCTATCTGTCAATAGAAAATTGTACTTAGTAGTCAGTATAATCCTTTAATGATATAAGTTTGCATATGGTAGAATACTGCATGTAATCATTAGTGTTTAGAAGTATATAGTTGGTGGCATATTGAAAGAATGTCTCATCCTAGGGGGTCTGTGACATTCCAGGGTGTTCTGGCGTTCACCCCCACATCCTGGGAGTATGGGAGAGGTTGTACCTTGTCTTATTGTTTTACGGTAGGATTAACGTAGCTATGTCATTTTTAGTCTAAGTGCTTTTTTACATATAGATGAACTGTTGGATTTTCCAGACCAGCAGGTTAAGGGAAGTTGTTTATGGGGTCACACTCTGACACTCTGACTGACACACACACACACACACACACACACACACACACACACACACACACACACACACACACACACACACACACACACACACACATTCCAATGTGACTCGGGTACAAAAGCACTGGTTTGAGTTTGACATCAGAGTTTTGCAATGTGCAGCTGTCATAAAAACAGGCCAGCTTTAATAAAAAGGAAAAAAAAAAGAAGTCATGAACTCAGAAGATAAAGGATTACTGAGGATTGCACTGGTTCGTGATTGCTGTCTCTTTTATTATTCTGTCCAGATTAGAGAAGCGACACCTGGCTTTGTTCTTGTTTCATTTCAGACAAAAAGGGGTCAGTAGTAGCAGCTGAAAGTATATAAACCTCTCACAGAGCGTTAGTTTATTAAAATGGACTCAGAATCAGATGCAAACGGAGCTTCTTGTTGTTGCATTTGATGCACAGTATGTCTTAGTTGTGGTCTAACGATTGTACTTGAGTATTTTTCAGTTACCTGTAATTGTAATCAAAATACCTCACACTGACATGACTTCCTTAAATACTTTCATTAATCCTAAACAGGGAAGCAATACTTAAATCAGACATAAATAAGAAAGGCATCAGTGGAAGATAAAGTGTACATGTTGGGATGTTTGTGTCTTTACTAAATGTCTAAATATACTATGAATCACCTCAGTGGCTGAGCAGTTGGGATCCTAAGTGTGAAACCCGAACGTGTAGCATAAATTCGTAACCATGAATGCTCCCTAAAACTATAATGGGGTTTCCAGAACAATGAGAAGTATAAAAAATGTTCAGTTGAAATGTCACTTTTTCCCCTTGCATGCCTCTGAGAGGTCAGAGTAAGGCTGTCGATGATGAAAGGGTCCTAACTGTGTGAAGTGAAGTGAGCTGGAAGTGCTGAAGTATTATTTCGTTAAGCAGAGGATACACTGGTCTACCTTTTTATGAAATAAAAATAGATAATAGAATCCCAATTAATGCCGTAACCTGCTGATATGTTTTGAACCTTCACTGAAACATTATGTTAAGTGCGAGGTGAACTATAAACGCTGCTGTAATAAAATCTGCTTCTTATGATGTTGTTGCCTTCCCTAGAACATGCAGATTCATTTTTTTATTTTTTTATTATTATTATGAGCTACAGTCATGTGAAAAACTAAGTACACTCTGTGATTCAGTAGCTTGTAGCACCACTGTTTGACTTTATGACTCAATGACTGTAAGGTGCTCAGGTCCTGTGGCTAGGTGCTCCAGCGCCGTGCCTGACAGCTGGTATGAGGTGTTTGTGCTGATATGCTGTGTTTGGTTGTCAGGTGGTGCTGTGCACGATGAACAAACAGCTCCGCTTTGGCCTCGTCTGTCCAAAGGACATTGTTCCAGGAGTCAGCGCGACTCTGCAAACCTAAGCTGTGCTTTCATGTTCTTTTTAGAGAAGACAGGCTTTCTCCTTGTAACCCTTCCAAACAAGCTATGCTTGTTCAGTCTTTTTCTAAACGAACATTAACTGTAACATTTAATTTGCTAGATGAGGCCTGCTGAGTCTGAGATGTAGCTCTCAGGGATTTTTATCCAGCTTCTCCCAGCATTTAACCATCTGACCTTGGGGTGAATTCGCTGGGACGTCCAGTCCTGGGAAGATCAGCAGCTGTCCTGAATGTTTTCCACTTTTGAGTCAACTTCAAATTGTTTGGAAACCCAGACTGATGGGCAGCAGCAGTTGCTCCTCTGAGATCATCGCTGGTGTTAACACACACATGAATGCTCCAGACAAGCAAACCTCTGCTTGCATAGAGGTGCTCAGCTCACACACAGGAATATTAAAGCTGGTTTATAAAAGAAAAAGTTAGAGCATAATGTAAGGCACTGCAAGTGTAACAGCACCGATATTCAGTAAATGAACCTCTTTGTTTTTGTGTGAGCTATATTTATACTTGCCTTTCTAATATGGACTTTATTCAATTGAATTTAACCAGATGCATAGCTTTATTTTCAGCTTTGAATGCATTTAATCCAGACAGTAATGTCTGCAGCTGCTTGTTTCTCTCCACAGTCTATATCAATCTTTAAGAGCTGTTATGTTTGTGGATATTACACCTTTTTAATCAGTAATATGACACAAAACAGTATCTGTAAAAAAAAATTTAAAAAAAATTATTTGAACACAGCTCACTCGTTTAATTCCTCTCCTCTTTGTTTTCTCTGACTTCTCAGCTCACCAACCGTGTTTAAACATTAAAAAAATACTAAATGATGATAACCAACAGCTGCATCCCTGAACTGTTTTTTGTTTGTGTCTTTTGGACTACAGAAGCGCTTCAATCCTGCAAAGGGGAGGTTGGTGGTTTGCGGTCATGGGACACTGGAGGGCGACGGTGTTTTCTGCATCCTGAGCGACGACCACGGACAAACCTGGTACAACGGTGCAGCGCTGAAAAGCATCCCCTACAACCAGAAGAAAAAAGCGCAGGACTTCAACCCTGATGAGTGCCAGGTATGTTTGCTGGTGCCGTCGGTCAGTTAGAGATTACAGTTAGAGCCATTAGTATTTGAACAGTTACAGAGTTTTTTTGTCATTTCCACAATTAAATTAACTTTGTTGTCGACATTAGCGGAAAACTTTCTTTGGTTCACCATGCTGCAGATCAATTCATAATCAATCCATAATAAAAATACTGGTAATTATTCATACAATAATAACTACATACACACCTTTTTTCTACCTAGTGGCATCAGAATAAAGAGGACGTTCTCAGACAGCAACAACAGAACGGCGTTTTTAAGACGCCAGTGTGATACAGATTATCTAATGAGGTTTGTTGTCAACCAACAGCAGTTCTGACAATGCTGCCCAGTTTGTTTCTATCTGCCACACTCGGGTTACCATCCCAGATGGAGATATTGAAGCTGACATACACCAAAAAAATAATGTTTTTGTTGACTTTTAACTTTTTAACTTCCTAAAAAAAAAAAAAAACTCTGACTAGCTTTCTTGTTGATGACATCAATATTTTCCATAAATCATACTTCCCATAAATCTTGTCATCTTGTCCTCAGAAGCTTGAAGCTTTTACTGACTTAAACAGACTGATCAGAAAGTGAAAAACCTGTTTTTTGAGCCTGTGTAATTCAAGGCGTTTCCCTTTGTCAGCATTAATCAGCAAATAACAAGATTTACACCAATCCTCAAATCTACATACCTGAGCAAAATAATCAGACTTAAAATTACCATTAAAGAAACCAACAAACAGCCATAACATCAGCAAATGTTAAACATTTTCACATTCCATATCCTGTATTTGCATATCATTTATATAAACATAACAGTGGTGATCAAACATCATTCAGCTTTAGATTACTCTGTTTGTATCCTTAGAGATTGAAGAGATTGAGATTGAAACTCGCTATGCAACGGCTGTGAGTCATCAAGTGAAAGTTAACTAGCCAACCGCTGTAACTGCCTGACATACAGAGAAGCTGGGTTCAGCTGTGGCTCACCAGTCAGCCTGTAATTTAACATTGTGCATGAGTGAGCTTCTGTTTTTTTACACATAAATATCCAGACCACCAAGGAAAAGGACAAAACAGACTTGGTGAAAGCGGGATAAAGTCATCGTGGTTTTGTGGAAGAAAGAACGTTTCCTCAAGCAGGACAGTTGCTGGTGCCTTCTGTGCTCACAGCTTCACAGTTTGTTTGCCTCAAAGTTCAGTTTTGAATCAATAATTGTTCCAAGATGTTTATCAGACTCAAGACGTTATACCACCTGGCCCTTTATAGCTGTGACCTGTTGTGTGTGAGAACATTTCCTAAAATCAGACCAATCAGTGATTAACATCTTTTGACATTTTTTAACTGAAGAGAGGACTCAACGTGCCATTTAACAGAATCATGAGGCTGGCCTCCTGCAACTGACTAACAATAACAGAGTCATCTGCATACTTTAGCACAGTGCTGTTTCATACCTACTCTAGCACATGTTTGTGTACAGGTCAGCAGGTCAGGTCAGAAGGCCACGTGCTTTTACTCGTTCCAAAGACATAATGCAAACTCTGAGATGATAGAGCTTTCTCGGCTCCAGAATTGTGGAAGGATTTATCATCGCACATCAGGTGATCTCCTTCACTTACTTGCTTTATAAATAAAGTGGTACAGGATAAATAATACCAGAGTTTCACTACACTACTACGATGGATTTAAAAGTGCAGACTTTCAGCTTAATTCACGATTACAAAACGATTAACTGTTTATAAATGATGGCCCTTTTTATGCACAGTCCCCCATTTCAGACGCTCAAACACGATAGGAAAAATTAACATAAGGATTGTTTTTAATGCTTTTAATAACGACTCCTTGAAGTCAAGGACATCACCGAATGTTGCATTTCCTCCTTTAATATGCTCTGTCAGTCCTTTACTGCAGATGGTTTCCTTCCTTGCAGCTTATTTGAGGCTTTTTCTACATTCACTTTTCTATTTAATAACTGAAACGCGTGCCGTGTTTGGTTGGATCAGGTGACTCGCTTGGCCTATGAGGAATATCCAGTTTCTTGTGAAATTCTTGAGTGTGGTTTGCAGTTTGCTTCTGTCAGCAGTCACATCATCAATAAACACTGGTGACTCTGTTTCATTGGCAGCCGTAAATTTCCATGTCATAATATTGTTTCCATCATGTTTGACACATGATGTGGTTTGCTTTGGATCATGAACAGTTCCTTTCTTTCTCCATTCTGTATCTTCCCATCATTCTAGTATCAGTTAATCTTGGTTTAATTTCTTCAACCAATATATTCCAAACCTGTGGAGGCTCTATTAGTTGTTTTTATGGAAAAGTATAATTTGGTCTTCTTGTTCTTGAGTGTAACTAATGATTTGAATCTTCTGATAGACCTACGTTAAACAGCCACTTCTCTCTTGTCTTTGGAAATGTTTATGTGGAGTTTTAAAATGACTTTGTTTTGCTTGCATTACAGAAAATTATCAAGTGGTTCTTGGGGAAAAGTCACACTTGTAGCAGCAAAAATAAAGTTTGGTGGTTATTAAGTTAAAGGGGAGTTAGCATTAGTTTATTTAGTGACATTATGAGGAAGCGTGAATGCTCATAGTGCACTGTTGTGAAGTGTGGTTCTGCACTCTAGTGGACAGAAAGTTGTTGTTTTTGTCTTTAACTTCAGTGTAGATTCTCCCATTTATTTTATTCAGTGCAGTTATATGAAGGCATCCCTATTACAATTGTAATTATAATCTTTCACCTTTGATACACTCTTTTCTCCGTCTGTTCTTCTGCAGCCAATTGAGTTGACTGACGGGACCATCGCCATCAACGTCCGGAACCAGAACAACTACCACTGCCGGTGCCGCATTGTGGTGCACAGCTATGATGGAGGGTTGACCCTGCCCTTAGAAGGCCTGATTTTTGACGAGGCACTGGTGGATCCTGTAGTGGCAGCCGGAGCACTGCAAAAAGAGGGCGTGATCTACTTCACCAACCCCTCCAATGAGCAAAAGAGTAAGAAACACGAGCACTAAGCTTTTTCATCTCTGTGTAAGACTAGCAAAAAGTTAGTTTTGTGTATTAAGAATGTTACTCTTTATGTATTCTGTATGCCATTCTAGTGAGAAATGCTAATATGAAACATGGTGATCTCTGCTCCCGTTTCTACTCTTGGCTCATATCAGTTGCATTAGTTATAATTATTAAATATTCATGTCCTGTTACCCCAAAAATGTCCACCCAGTTAGTTCCTGAGTAAATTTAGTATTCACTAATAAATTTAATTTAATATTTGGTTACTTTGGCCACTTATAGTGTTTTCCTTTACGGCACAATAACTACTTTATATTCTTATGGAATCCAATGATAATTAAGTTTATTTCAGCTCCCCTAACTTATCTGGTTTGTTTTTACTGTAGCTCTATAAATCATGGCAACTTTCCACTTTTTTATGAACTGTATTCACATATGAGCTAAAGTACAAGCTCAGTAAAGCTTCATAAAAAAGTGACTTTCACCTTATTTCGGTTTCAATTTGAACTGAAAGTAAACACAGAAATCTGATGCTACACAGTGATCCATGCACGCCAGTTTGAGGCAAACTTTCTGGCAGAAAATGATACCATGATGCAATGCTGTAATCAGATAGATTGACCTTGTTTCCCTGAATCTTTGCAGTACAGGTGGAAACTGCTTAATCAGCACAAAACACAGAGTCTCACTGATGAGAAAAAACCCAGGTTGAAATGATCCTGATTAAGTTGAGTGGATAAATAAGTGATGCTTTATCTCCTTCAGGAGTGAATCTAACCCTGAAATGGTCGCTGACAAACGGCATGTCTTGGGAGAACAAAGCTGTCCAGATATGGGCGGGTCCGAGCGGCTACTCCAGTATGACATCACTGGACAGCGGCTCTGTAGAAGACCGCAAGTACATCTTTGTCATCTACGAGAAGGGCCAGAAAGACTATTTCGAGACTGTCTCGTTCACCAAGATCCACCTGTATGGTGGTCGTTAAGAGCACACGAGGACGTAGGTAGAGCAAAGTCAGACATGAACTATGGTGCAAACTAAACATAAATAACTTATCTGTTTTGTCTCAGATTTAAACACTTAAGGGAAAAAAGAAAACCGGAAGAGGGTTTTTTTTTTTTTTTTTAATCCATCATCTTTCTCAGGAAGATAAACAGACTCATTCTAGGATATCACGAAAATGGAGAAAGAAGAATCTGCACGCACACATTTTGTGATTACGCCATCAAAAAATATTTTTCTCTGATTTAATCCTTCTGTCCTTTACATTTTTCAAAGGGGGTTTAAATCACGTGTTTGTAACCCTTTAATTTTATTTGCCAAGTAACTACACAGCTGCAAAATTCGGGCAGAGAAATATGTCAAAGCAGGAAATGCTGAAGATTGTTTTACAGACGGGGTACATAATTTACAAAAAGCTGATTGTTAAGTATTTTGTAAACCTAATTGTTTTGGGACAGAAAAAAAACTAATGTTTGAGTGTGTGAAAGTGAAAATTACTTTTGAACCACTATAGATGCAACAGTTTTTTCTTTTACTATCATAAAGTTTGCTGTGAATTCATGCTGATTGAAATCAGTTCTACCTTTAGAAAACTTGTAATTGTGTAAAATAATGGCCTAAAAAAGCAAAACCTTTTTTAAAAGATGTATATTTTCACTTATAAATTCTCTTTAATTGTTTCTTTGAGGTTTAAATAATTGTTTCATATACATGTGTGGAAGAATGTGTGAATGAAAAGGTGCCTAACGTAACCCAAAATGTCTTTGTTTGTATTTATGGAGCGGAAGCGGAGTTATTTTATTTGTATATTTTAAATGTCAGATTATGACCAAATGTCCTTTGTCTGTAGTTGCTTGGCGGATAAATGAATCTGTGCTGTAATGGATTTTCCTTCTTGTCACATTGTCCTTGTTTTTATGGATTTGATTGTGGAAAACACACTTTTTATGTCTGAAATGAAAATAAAAGGGAGGGACTGATTTAAACCACAGTTGAAGGCAAAAAATGTCACTTCATGTTTTTCTCTATACGTCTTTCTGATACAACTCTAATATAAGGGAAAAAACTCATTTTTTCAGTTTTAAGTTGTAAAATATTTACTGCTTTTATTTTGAAACTTACTTTACATTAGAATGAAAATCAGTGTGCTGAGTTTTCCAAAAGAAAGAACATTTAGTTGGGATATGAAAATCAGAATCAGAATACTTTATTGATCCCTGGGGGAAATTATTTTTTGTTACAGTGCTCCATTTTAAACCAACATTAAGACAAGACGGACAATACGCTAACTAAGAATAGTACAATATATACATATATATACATACATACATACATACATACATAAGTCACTTATAAATAAATAGTTGGAAAAGAAACATGTGTAGCTGTAGCAGCAAACAGTGTGTTAAGTGGATGCGTTGTACAGGGAGATGGCCACAGGCAGGAATGATTTCCTGTGTCGTTCAGTGGTGCTTTTCGGTAATCTCAGTCTCTCACTGAACGAGCTCCTGTGACTGACCAACATGTCATGGAGTGGGTGGGAGGTGTTATCCAACATTGTCTTTATCTTGGACAGCATCCGCCTCTCCGACACCACCTTGAGGGAGTCCAGCTCCATCCCCACAACATTGCTGGCCTTACAGATCAGTTTATTAAGTCTGTTGGCATCTGCGACCCTCAGCCTGCTCCCCCAGCATGCAACAGCATAGAGGATCGCACTGGCCACAACAGACTCATAGAAAATCCTCAGCATTTTCTGGCAGATGTTGAAGGACCTCAGTCGCCTCAAAAAATAGAGACGACTCTGGCCCTTCCTGTAAAGTGCTGTGGTGTTTTTAGCCCAGTCCAGTTTATTGTCAATGTGTACTCCAAGGTATTTATAGTCCTCCACAATGTCAACACTGACCCCCTGGATTGAAACAGGGGTCAAGTGTTTCCTGGTCTTCCTGAAGTCCACGATCAGTTCCTTGGTCTTTGCCACGTTGAGCTGCAGATGATTCTGCTCACACCACGTGACAAAGGAGTCGACCACAGCCCGGTACTCTGTCTCATCATCCCTGCTGATGCATCCAACCACCGCAGAGTCATCAGAAAACTTCTGAAGATGGCAGGTCTCTGTGCAGTGGCTGAAGTCTGTGGTGTAGAGGGTGAAGAGGAAGGGGGAGAGGACAGTCCCCTGTGGTGCCCCTGTGTTGCTGATCACCTTGTCAGACACACACTGTGGGAGACGTACATATTGTGGTCTTCCTGTCAGATAATCAACAATCCAGGACACCAGAGAAGCATCCACCTGCATCGCTGCTAACTTATCACCCAGGAGGGTCGGCCTGATGGTGTTGAAAGCACTGGAAAAGTCAAAAAACATGACCCTCACAGTGCTCGCCGGCTGGTCCAGATGGGTGTAGACACGATTGAGCAGGTAGATGATGGCGTCCTCTGTTCCGAGATGAGGCTGATAAGCGAACTGAAGGGGATCCAGATGTGGTCTTACTATGGGTCGTAGCTGGTCCAGGATGAGCCTTTCCAGGGTCTTCATGATGTGGGAGGTCAGTGCCACGGGCCTGTAATCCTGGGGGCCACTGGGACGTGGCGTCTTTGGTACAGGGACGAGGCATGATGTCTTCCACATCACCGGGACCCTCTGCAGACTCAGACTCAGCATAAACAGTTTATGAAAGACTCCACACAGCTGGGGGGCACAGGTCTTGAGGACAAGGGGACTCACTCCGTCTGGTCCAGCAGACTTGCCTGAGTGAAGTCTCCTCATTTGCATCTCAACCTGGTATTGAGTGAAGGTGATGGGTGGGGGAGGGGTGTCAGGAATCTCACAGGAGGCAACATGTGAAGAGAGAGGCTGGCACAGTGGTGTGGCTCTGGATTCCAGGCTGACTGCAGGTGAGGTTGTGGGGGTGGGAGCAGACACTGTGGTGTCGAATCTATTGAAAAACAGATTCAACTCGTCGGCTCTATTCTCACCTCCCTCAGCTCCCCTGCTGTTGGTTGGCCTGAATCCAGTGATGGTCTTCATGCCCCTCCACACCTCTCTCATGCTGTTCTGCTGGAGTTTCCACTCCAGCTTCCTCCTGTAATTGTCCTTAGCCTCTCTGATCTTGTCCTTTAGTAACACCTGGATCTTCCTCACCTCCTCTTTGTTGCCCCCTCTGAAAGCCCTCTTCTTGTTGTTGAGGAGGGCTTTGATGTCCTTAGTCACCCACGGCTTGTTATTTGGGTAACAATGAACAGTCTGAGCTGGAACAATGGAGTCGGTGCAGAAAGTTATGTAGCCTGTGATACACTCAGTAAGCCCATTGATGTCCTCGGCGTGAGGCTCACAGAGTGTTTCCCAGTCGGTCACCTCGAAACAGCCCTGTAGTTCCGCTATTGCCTCCTCTGACCACCTCCTAACAGTCCTGGTGGTCACAGGTTCCCTCCTCACAATTGGCACATAGCGGGGGGTGAGGTGAATCAGGTTATGATCTGACCTACCAAGTGGGGGGAGGGAGGAGGAGCTGTATGCATCCTTGACGTTAGCATACAGTAAGTCTAAAGTTTTCTCTCCCCTGGTGGGACAGTCCACATATTGTTTGAATGTTGGTAGTGTATTGTCCAGTGATACATGGTTGAAGTCACCCGAGATCACAATAAAGGCACTCGGGTGCTGAGTCTGTAGCCGAGCTATGGCAGAGTGGATAGTGTCACATGCAGCTGTGGGGTTAGCAGAGGGGGGAACATAAACAGCCACCAAGATGACAATGATCAGCAGTTAGGCATATCAACAGGTTAACATATTTTGCATTTTAATAGAATGTAGTTTAAAAAAAATAGATTAATTATGAATCGCCTTTTGAAAGTCACAATTGAGTCATGAGGTAAAAAAAATATGTTGCAAATGTCACGCCAACGTCAATTTTTCTGACATGTTTTTGTTTACGCTTGGAAAAAGTAAATTCAAATACACATATAGGTCTTTATTTCATACACTTATAGTCAATATTCATGCAAATTAGTGCATATATGGAAAATTAAATCATAACATTTTATAAAACTTACAAAAAAAAGACATCTCGGTGTAAGTAATCAGCTGTAGACTTTTACTGGCAATCTTTTTGTTCTAAAAAAATAAGTGGCTCCACAGGCATGACTGGAATTTCACACTGCAAATTATCTATCCATCTATAGTACAACCAAAAGTCTGGAGCCAGTCCTCATTTCTTCTCATTTCTTTATGTAGTCTTCAGGAATGGCTTTCCAGTCTTCTCAAAGGTCAGTGCCTGCCTTTTATTGTATTTTCTGTCAGGATGATCAATAACATTGAGGTCAATCCATGACTGATAAGTGCTTAACAAACAAACAAACAAACAAACAAACATTCTTCTGAAAGTAGTCAGGTACAAAGACTGGACTGAAAATGACTAAAAAAAGCAGCCAATGGCCAAAGGAAAACTTTGAAAGATGTTCAGAAAGACTGGAGAAGTATAGTTCAAGATCACTTTAAAAAACAAGGACTGGCTCCTTCAAAGGTAATATAAAGAAACATGGCTCAAAGTCTTTGCACAGAGGTGGAAAAGTTTTAATTTTGTGTCTTTTAGCATTTTTATTTTCTATTATTATTATTATTTATTTATTTATGAAGTGATAAATACAGAAATCGTAACATATAAAAAATGTCAAATGTTTGTAATCAAATTTTTAGATTTCTGTTTATAAATGTATTACAATTAACATATATTAAAAAAGATAATGCACCATCTACATATTGAAAACGTGAAATTTCAGATTTCTATTGTAAAATTAATTGTTTAACTTTTCATGGATAAATTTGCTAGATATTTTTGGTATTAACTTTGCAATATTCACATTTCTTTCGGAGAGGCTTCACTTGCACTTTAAAAAACATAAGAGTGGCTTATTTATTTTACTGTAGAGGTCCCAAACGGCTCAGTAGCCGTTGACGGCTCTTTAGGCGACGGATCGAGCCCAGCATTAACCATTTTCTTTTACCCCCTTTTCATTTATTTTTGGGAGTTACAAAAAAAAGAAAAGGAGCACAAGTAAGCCGAATATCTTCTTTATCCATACGTTGCCGCTGGTATCAAAGTTAGAGCAAAGCCAGAGTGTGTTGGTTTGACTATGCGAGAGGATAACGTTGCTTAGCTAGCTGGGTCACTTGCTGGAAAGAGGCTATACGTGATAGCATAAGCTAACCTCACTCAGCGATACAACCTCGAGACAAGTCGGGACAAGACCAGGTCAGTGGTTGGGAAAATTGTGCATGTTTCCATGCGGACATTGGGCAGTTACATTGTACCGAAGAGACATTGTTACTCTTACCTCTGGGCAATGGCTCGGCGCATCTGTGAGGGTGTTTTTGGTTAAGGATCGAGGTTATTTTTATTTTTGTAAAGGCATAGCTAACGTTAGGTGGCTGTCTAGCTCATTAGCCTAGCTTGGCTAAGTGGTTGACTAGTATTCGCTAGCTTCTGAATTTAGCCACTTGTTTTTTTTAGTGTGTAAACACACATTTATTTACCTTTTAGTAAAGGTCTCTGGGACGTTTGTGTGCTGATGAAATATCTGTTTACTATTAGATGTTTTTTTTCGTGGCTAGTGCTAACGGATAAACGTTAGCGAGGCTTCAGCTTTAGCTCGGAGGGTGTCCGATTAAAAGATGCTCCCGTTGCTCAGTATTGATGATTTGTCAGTGGTTGTTTTTTCCAGCACAGTTAAGTTGTATAGTGTAGTGTATTTTAAGTAGTATGTACCTACACAAGCCAGCTCTCTAATGCTACCCAACCGGCCTGGGTTAGTATGCACAGGGCCCATCTACACCGCCATTTTGTTTTGTTCATCTAATAAAAATCTGTGTTTTTTTTCTGCGTTACCCCGGGCCTCCCACTAACTGTAAGTAAGCATAACAGTTTGGTAAGGACGAGCAGTCGTAATGTCACTGTGTGATTCAAAGCATGGAGCTGACAAGCGGTGAGCTAAGTG